TCAGCTACAGCATATATGATTGAGAAAACAATGAAGGTAGTTATTTCATCCTGTACATTAAAAAGCTGAACAGTGATTACATTGAATTTATTAAAATAAAACTTAAAGGATAAAATTCATCTACTTAAAATTACAACTTTATTGCATTAAGAATGTCTTACTATTTCAAGAAGAATAAATCACAATCAATAGAATTTATCAATTACTTTTTGGTGAGTTTGTATGTTAAAATTCATACAAGAAATACTTAAGCAGTATGACAGTTACTTTTCTTTTTTATTTTATCTTTTATATTCTAAAAATGATATATTGCTAAAGAAAATATTTGGATCATCCATAATCTGATCCCTAACAAAAATTTTGTTCATTCTCCCATCATTTCCAGTCTTTATTCATATGTATACACATGGCAATAGTGGCTGAGGAAACTAAAATACAGAAAGTTTAAATAATTACCCCAAAGTCACATAGCCAGTAAATGATAAAGTTAAGATTGGTAACTACAGAATCTGGGTTCTATTCAGTATTACACTGCTTCAGGATATCTCTCTGCCTATTTCCACCAAGTAGCTTTACATTCAATTCTGTTTCCCAAATGTTTCCTGATTCTAAGTAGGTACAGTTACTGGTGGACATCAGTAAGGCCATAAAGGTATGAGGATATTTTCCTTCCTAAATTTAAGAAGTATATTCAGTGGCAGATAATCCATGCAGAAGGACTCGAAGAATTACAAAATAATTATTTTTCAAGTCCAAATAAAAATATCAATTTATGCAAGGATTGTCAATTAATGGTAAAATAATTATATGAAAGGTTGGTATCAAACTTAACATCTGCACAATGCCAAATTACCAACATACAGTTTACTTTCAATACAAAGAGGTAAAAACATCTAAACCACACAAGCATGAAAAGGTCATTTTATTCCAGAGTTAATCTCACCACTCACAGTAGATCAACAAGATAATATGTGTCTTCTGGTATGTTCCAACATGACACTCATATCACTTAAGATATGCTCAGGCTAAAAGTACTAACCTGAGACTATCAAGTCTTTAGATAAAACTTTCAACAGTTACAGGAAAAATACAAGATGACTAAACAGAAAATGACACTACAAGCAAGAAAGCATCTAAAAGGTCACTGATCTAGGCTCTTCAACATATATCATAAACAAACAAAAAATCAACTACCCTACAATAGCAGATTTTACAGGACATACCAACCAAAAAGCAATTCATGATACAGAATTGGACACCATTATACCTATCTGCTTAAAAAGTTAATTGGGGCGGTGAGTCCTTGGGAAAAGTTAAAATAAGATTTGTGTACCAGATGAGATAAAAATGAAATGGAATGTATTGAAAGATGAGGATTTTTAAGTGCAAAAATACTTGCACAGTGGTACGTACAGAACAACCTTATTTCAGCATGTTTTCTGATACTATACATTTCCTGGGAGAGAAAATTTGACAAATTGAAGGCTAAAAGGCAAATAAATACATTTACTTTGATAAACCAGCATAACCTAGTGACTTTGTGAAGATTTGCAAACCTAGAATACCATATAATAGCAGTAGGTAGATTGCAGATATGTGCATCTATATGAATGAATCCCACAAGCATAACACCAACCAACAAAAGCAAGTCATGCAAAAAATAAAATTAGAATTCTGAATGTTAGGCAGGGGCCAAAAACAGGTAAAACTAGGAATAAGAAATACATGCACACGTGATGAAACAACTTTATAAAATACAGCATTACAAATTAATAATATTTACCATAGTGATTACATCTTCTGTAATCAGTAAAGGAAGAGGGGATACACTGATGATAGGGCACACAGGGAGCTTTTGAAGTATCGGTAATGTTTTGGTAATTTTTTTCCCTTCAGCTATGTCATACATATATACATAAGCATTCATTTTTATTACTGTTCACTAAAATATATGTATCTGTGTATTTCATTTGTAGAGATGGTATTTGTAATAAAACAGAAAGCTGTGGACCAGATTAAGGGCCACATTGTAAGAGTACGTACTCAACGAACCATCCAGGCAGCCTCCTTTGAGATGTATGGGTTCTTGAATGTACATCAAACATTTATACTCCTTTCAAATTTTACTATAAGTAGTGTTAAAAATAGAAACCATCATCCTTGTAGCTTTTATCTCTTAGAATTAATTCTTAGATCTGGAGTTACTGAATTGAAGCAATGAACATATTTACAATTCAAGCTGTCAAATTATTTTGCCAGGATCCCAATATACAATATTATCAGCATAGCAACTGAACACAACTTTGTGGGCAATTAGTTATTACCATTAATGCTTTAATTATTGGGTTATTTGGCATTTTACTATTAATAAGAAAAAATATTTTCCTAGGATTTTTTGACTGTACGTTCATTCTTCTCATCTATTTACATGCTCTGCTTATTTATCTGCAGAGATCGTGATGTTTTCCACAGAAATTTAAAAGAAATCTTTAAATGTAATGGGTTCTTTCTTAGAAGTTGTCAATATTTTTACTCTGGCTTCCTTTTTGTTTTATTTTGCTATTTTCCAGAGTAGATGGTATGTTTCACATATTCAAAAGTTAACGTTTAGTTTTCTGTCCTTTGTATACCTTCAAAGAGGGAAAGTTACCATTTCTCAACAGATCTAATGACTCATTCTATTCCTCCTACTTTATGCTTCATATTTCTCATTTTAAAACAGACTACACGGAGACACTCAAATTACTAGCAGAAGAAAAATTCCAAAAATAGATCATGTAGGAGACCAGATAGGAAGATTGAGGCCTAATTGGCCCCCCAGCGAGCATTAAGAAGAAAAGTGGCATGCAAACTAGTGAGTTCACATGCATGCATGGAAAAGTAAAACAGCTGAGATTCTGCTGTACATCCAGAGAAGTACCATGGAGGGTGAGAGACAGATGAATCCCGTGTAACTCTAATTGCTCGTACCCGTGTCTGAGTGAATAAAGCCTAGATGTACCTGTCACATAGGGCCTTGGTCCACTAGAAGCGAAGAGCCCTCTGGCCCCTCACATTTTAACCTGATTCTGTCTCTTTACTCTTCATCCTCGTCATCCCTTGGTTAGGTTCAAGCTCATAGGCTGGCTCCCACAAGATCATATAGGACAAACTATGTGATTCAGTGCTAAGAATAGATTATTGGCTCAATGGTGCTGAAATAACTGCTATTTAAGAAGGACAAACCTTATACTCTACAATGAAATAAATTTCAGATGAATTAATGTTTAAATGTAAAAAATGACATATTAAAATTCTTAAATCTTGAAGGTAGGAGCAGGGGTTTCTACTCCTCCCAGGGAGAAACAACCTAAGGAAAAAAGTTTGATAGATTTGATGATATAAAAATTACACATTTTTACACCAAAAACCATTGTATAAATGGAAGGTATGTTGGCCATAGTGGTGTACACTTGTGATCCTAGCACTCAGGAGGCTGAGGCAAGAGGATTTCCATAAGTTTGAGGCCAGCCTGGACTACATAGTCATCAGTTCAAGGACAGCCTGAACTACAAAGCAAGACTCTGTCTCAAAAAAACAAAATGAAAAAAATAGAAGGCAAACTTAGAAATTACATATGACAATAAAGACACAAGAGAAAAGCTACAACCCAATATCCCTGATGAACACAAATGCAAATAACCTCAACAAAATACTAGCAAAACAAATTCTACAGCACATTAAAAATATCATTCACTATGATCACATAGGATTTAATTCAGGGATACAACCATGATTTAACATATGCAAATAAATGTGATACATTTTCTGTATTAGCTAGCTTTCCCATAACTGGGACACAACACCCAACACTCATAACTTAAAGGAAAGGTTTAATTTGGCTCATAGCATCAGGGAATTCTGTCCATTGTCAGCTGGCTCCAAGACAGAAACATCATGGCAAAGTGTGTGCTAAAGCAAAGATCTTTAATTCATGACTACTGGGAAGCAGCAGAGAGGAACAATGCCAGGCAGAAAAGGGACTGGGATTATATATAGTACTCAAGGTCATACCTACATACATACCAACACATTCAAAAGTGTGTTTTACTAATCTACTAGGCATTTCTTAATCCAATAAAATTGCTATATCAGAATTAATGGCTACAATGACATTAACAGAATTAAGCACAAAAATATAATAATTGCAATAGATTGAGAAAAGGAATTTGATAAAATTCAACATCCCTTCACGATAAAAATTCAACAAATTTCGTACAGAAGGAATGTACCTCAATACAATAAAGACCATATATGACAAAACCAGAGCTACTATCATACCGAATAGGGAAAAATTCAAAGCTTTTCTTGTAAAAACTAAAATAAGACATGTACGTCCACTTTCACCACTCTGATTTAATAAGTATTAGAAGTCCTAGCTAGAGCAATGGCACAAGATAAAGAAACAAAGTACACCCAAGCTGGAAAGGAAGAAATCAAACTGTTGTTATCTGGAGACCACGTGATCTCATATATAGAAAACCTTAAAGAATCCACCAAAGAAAAACTTGGAACAAATAAAGGAATTTAGCAAAGTTGGTGCAGCAGTGTGAATATAATCATCAATAATGCATATATAACTTACAATAGTTAGAAAATTTTGAATCTAATGATAACAAAACAATTTAAGGAGACAGATATTATAAATTGGGCACTGAGAGTGATTTTTAGACTATTTTACATTTACAACCATTTACATAGATAATAAGCACAGCCTAACTTTTCAGATAAAAGACTTCACACAGAAACTGAATAGCAGATGATTCAGCATGAATAACAGGTCAATTATATGAAATTATAATTATTTCTGTGCATTGGGATTTTATATTAAACAGGAGAATGGGAGGGAGAGCAGTCGCATTTGATTTTAATTGCGCTAGCCTGAGTTATCCAAAACATCACGAAAACACTAGAGAAAATGAGAAAATGACAAGAGGCATGGGAGATGAAAATGATGCTACCAAAGGAACTTGGGTAACAGATGCAGCTCTCTCTGAAGAATTGGGTTGACTTTACTCTCCTTACTTTTCTAGGTGTTGAGAGCAGAAAAGGCATACTTTTCCATCAGTAAGTGCCTGAAGAAATACAAAACATTTTTTTCAGAACAGCAAAATCTAAGCTTTCTTTAGCTCCTGAATTTAGTGTTTACACTGACAAGTAAACATTTCATACAATATCAAAATAAAATGAATGTTAAATCTGTTCAAAACAATAATGATAAATAATGCAAGCTGGTGAACAAAACAGAAGACAAAAAGGAAACTTATAAGCTACCTGGTAAGAAATCTGATAGAAGTACTGATAATAGACACACAAAAGCATTACCCACCAACCAGCCAATGCAAGAGGAAGAAGATAAATCAGACATTTGAATCTTCATACCACTCTCCACAGAAATCATAAGCCCTTCCTGGAAAAGCACTGAGGTAATAGTAATGGTAATAAAAGCACCTCAATATGGTTTATGAGCCACAAAAATTAACTGTATTTTCAGAGCACTTACAAAGCATTTTATATGAATTACTTCATTCAATCTTCAACATTACTCTATGAAATATACTCTATTTACAAATAAGAAAATTGAAGATTCAAGAGGCTAAGGAACATGCTTAAGGTAGCACAAGAGGCAGAACTGAGATTAAAGCCTAACTCATCTCATACCTGAACCAAACTATCATCACTATATTATCCTGCTCAAATGACATATATGCCTGTCAAAGTGAGTAAAATATACGGAAGGTATAGCATTTGAAAAATTAAAGGACTTCTGAAATACCACTGTCACTCCTATACATTATGTTATTCAGTTGGTCAATATTCTCCAGTGCAAACTTTCAAAATTAGTTCCAATCCCTCCAAAAAAAGTATGTGTATACATAAATAAAACACATTCACCCTTACTATGTGTGTTCTAACACAGTCTACCTTTTAAAAAAATGCTGACATTCATTTCAGGACTGATAAACAGGTAGCATCTTGCAACTAAAAAGAAATATCTGGGCATGGTGGTGCACACCTGTAATCCCAGCACTCAGAAGGAAGGCTGAGGCAGAGGGACTGCCACAAGTTCAAGGCCAGCCTGAACTACATAGTGACTTCAAAACCAGCCTGGACTACACAGTCAGACCCTGTCTCAAAAACAATAACAAAGTAAAAAACACCAAAACCCTGCCCTAGGTGTGTGTATGTTCGGAAACGCAAGGAAAGGATGTATCCTGTGATGTGAGAAACAAATCCAAATATCCTGAGAGAGGGTTAAATGATACATGTACGGGAAATCACTTGAGTTCACCACAAATGGACATTCATCAAATACCAGTTACCAGGACATTTCCTGAATCATTACTAGCCCCCAAGCCTTGGAGAAATAATACCTTCTAGCATGATAAGCACTATAGTCAAGGAATGAGCTGCTAGTCAATTAACTACCTTAATACTTCAATTCAAAAACATCAATAGGATTGAGCTACCTACATGACGTGAAAAAAAGCAGCTAATCCGTTTCAAGAAAATGTCTCTAATCATCCATTTTTGATGGAAAAATTTCTGAAGTTATTAAACATTGACTTGACTTCCTAAAAGGACTACACAAGCCGGGGATTTAGCTCAATGGTTCTGCCGCCTGCCTTGCAACCACAAGGTCCTGAGTTCAATCCCTGGTACCAAAAAAAAAAAGGACTACACAAAACTAATATTTTCCCAAAGACACAGTCATAACCAGCAACACATAATGGTAACTTTATACCTGGTAGATCCCTACCTTACAAATAACTTAATTCAAATCACTCATTTTACAGATGAGCAAACTCATGCCCCAAGAGGTTGTATAACTTGCCCAAAGTCACATAGTAGGAAGGTCATATGCTTACCATACACCATGTTACCATGTTATCTATAGTTGTACTATGGTGAATACTATCTCTCAAGGAAATCAAGAAGTAGGGGCAATACCACCTTGCCCGTGTTGTTATTTTTGTCATCCCTTCTCTTTTCCCATTATCTTTAGTAACAAAACTTTTGAAAAGGTTCTGTGTGTTTATCTCTGCAAAAATAAAATAAGCCTATTCCACAACTCTCCTCAGGAGAAAAACTCAAAAATATGTGGTATGTCTCAAACAGGAAAGAGATGCTAATGGAATTTCTATATGATCTTCAAAAAGAAGGATTAAATGAGAAGCCTACATAGTCTTAAAGACAATGTCTAGACTGTCAGGAAGTACAAAAGTTCATGAGAAAAGGCAATACAGTGAACTTCACTAGGGCAAGAGACTAGGTTCTCAATAAATATAGGTTGACCTGAAAAATGAATGTCGCTACATTAAGTGGTGCTAGGTCACTGCTGTTTTGCATTTCAGGTTTGCATTTCAGGTTTGCATTTCAGGAGTTTGTCTCTTCCCTTATAAATACAACAACTGCCACTTAGACATCTAATAACACTCCCTCAGAGTCTTTGTAGGAGTTGACAACATTCCTTGTGTCTTTAAATTCAATGGTACTAATATACACTGAGAATGCTAAAACTATTCCTAAGAATGAATATATTCTGATTAAAGACCTGAAGAATTACCCTATGTAGGAAGCATGTCAATATTTTCACATAGCTCTTATAAAGTATATCTTGCCTGTTCTCTTGAGTTCCTAGGTCTGAGGCATATAATGCAGGATGCCAGTTAAGTTATTCTAGTGAGAGATTATATTTCTGGGACTATTTTTAACTTGAGGCCAAAGATGCTTTTTTATAACCCGCAAAATTATCATTCAAATAACCTTTTGAATGGCAAACTATTCTGAAAATATGTACCTGAGTGGAAAGTCACTTTCTAGACACATATCACTTGTATCCATTTTTGTCCTCTCTATTGAGATTCTAGTTGACTTTCTTTTATTCTGTTCTCCTTTTTTTCTTTCCACAGTTCAAGTACTTCATCTTACTCTTCTGCCTTTAGGTGTTCAAGGGATACTTCCCATATTTTCTGATTAGAAGTAAATGGGCAGCTTAACTTAATAAAGTGTATTCAACATTTTATTTTTCCAATGACCTCTTGAAAAATAGGATCTGAAGGAAAAACTTTTACCTTATCTTACAGAAAATCAGAATAAAATTAGTCAGGGTTAAAGAGAATTTAAAATATCCTCAGATGATTGCACTTGATGAACCAACTGACTCTTAATGTTCTAACTAAAACTATTCTAAGAGAAAAATTACATTTCATAGCCTATTTCTTCATGTTTCTTATACGTACATGATTAATTCTGCTTCTGTTAATAAAACTGAAACTATGAAATACTACATTTCCTTCAAAGTATGTTTACTAAAGTAAACATTTAAATGCTTTCAGCAAACTATTTCAGAAAAATAGTGCAAACACATCAAAAATAAGTCTAATTAAATCCAATGACTGAAAGTATTGAAATCATTTGAGAAATGTCTTTAATTGAATTTTTCCACTTTTGATGAAGTAAAAATTCGTATATCATAAATTTAAGCAACATGCTTTATAAAGCCCAGAAGTGTCACTGTTAAGCAACATTAAACACGTAATGTTTAAGATTAACTTCAGATAAACTCTTCTCATACACTGAGACTATTACACTCACTAGAATAAGTCTAAAAATGAATCTTTTTCCAAATTACTTCTGATGCCTTCTGATGCAATTTTCTGGATCACTTAGGGTCCTCCTATCTCTACTAGGACAGACTCTAACAGATGGATATGCTCCTATTTTCATTAGAAGACAAAAATATTTATTACAAAGTAGTATTAACAGCATCTAATAAGAATGAATACTGATCAATTAAAATTTTTAAACAGATAAGAAATCTCTTGATTCAAAGAAAAAAATTTTAAACATCTCAAGTTCCTAGGTAACAAAAGAGGCAAAAATAGAGAACTTAAGTATGTTTTAAAATGAACACATTATAAAATGGATGTTGTTCTTAGTTTTAAGGTAAACTGGGAAGTAAAAAATGAGTAGTCTAATGGCTCTTTCCAGTTCTCATCCCATATCTGTTTACAGCAGCTACAACCAGATTACCTGAATCCATGAAACTATTTTCAGATTAGGAATAAACATGTCCTTGCTGGTCTGAAGACAAGTACACAGGTGCTTGAGAATTTGTTAAAAAAACAGCTTAAAAGCTAACTAGTTTATCCTCCATATATTCAAAAGCAAGGAAACTGAGGATCTGAGACATTAAGTACATGGCCCTTCCATTCACACAGCTAGTTAATGGCCAAACAAGATCAAATATTAAGTTTTCCCAATTATTTCTACTAAAATATGTCAACTCTGAGGATTAGAACAATTGATTGTCTTTCTGGGATAGAAGAGTTGGCTTCTGCAAATTAAGTAACTGTATAATCTTTGGCAAGTTAGATTCCCAACCCCCTTTTTGTCTCCTGTAAAATGTAAAGATTAACTATTCTAACTAGGTTGTCATAATAATACATCTGGCTTAAGTGCTTGGCACATTAATTAGGAAATCATAAACATTAGAAAACAGGTAGCTGTTACTTTTACTCAGATCCTGGAAACATGGCTGCTCCTACTATCTGGAAAGACAACGAACTGAATTCCTTAACACAATGGTCAGGGTCCCATCCACCAGAGATTCTCTGGCCTACCACATTGACAGGAGAAAACCCTACGCAACAACTGTCCTATATCAGACCATCCAAAATTCATCCCTTATACTCTTAAAAAAACAAAAAGCTAATTTGCTGCCAAATGTCTTCTTCCACGCGGTTTACTTTGTCAACTAGAAATTGCGGCGAGGGGTGGTGTAGGGTGGGGGAGTTCTGGCTTCACCTGAATCACGTAGGACAGAAAAACAAGGAAGATAAGATCACACACCTAAACTGGAACTCAAAAGTCTGTTCTTAGCACTTTAAGTTGTGGGTGGTACAAAGCAAAATGTTTTCAACATCATAAAGCCAGAATGGCTACCACAATAAAATACAGTTCCCTAAGCTTCTCAACACAAAGATTATCCGTTTCCTTTCTCTAAGAAAATATGCATATGGGTAACAAGCATTTCTTTATAACTGCAGATTAAGCTGGATCTCAGCTGCACTGCATCCTACGAACATATATGAAAAAGTTCGATGAAATGGCAAGATAAAACGATGGGGAATATCACCTTGAAATCAACAAGGAAGGAATCATAATGTCCTGCCAAAGGCGTTTCCACTGATAAAATCCCAACCCTCAGTATTCCTGACACTTCAAACCCACCTCCCTCTAAGGAAATTAACTGAGATCACCGCAGCAACCAACCTCAGAGATTGGTATTGAACAGATGGACCCCTACTCAAATGCGCTGGGAATCGCGGGTCCAAGCCCCAGCCTGGAGCTAAGTGCTGCGCGGACTCTTGACTACCTCACTTCCTTTCTGTCCTCCCTCCCACGCTCGACCCTCGGCACGGCTTGCCAAAACTTGCCAATGACAGAGAAGGTAGGAACAACACAGACTTCCCACACTTTGTCCGGAGAGTATCGGGGCCACACATACCCGTCCCTATCACGATCACATCAAACTCCGAAGGGAGGATATCCGCCATCTTGACAGGAAACGTGTCCTGTGACTATTGCTTGTGGAAATGAGATCAAATTAGGCATTCCCTCCTTAGAAGGCGGAAGGAAAACAGTGCATTCTGGGTATTGTAGTTCTGGAGTGGAGCGTCCAAGTAGAAGACTCATTCTATATGAAATGTTCATAAGAATGTGAAAATCTCCCTTCATTTTCCAGGTTAAGTACAGTAGCTCACTTATCTTGGAGGTTAGGGCTAGGAAAGAAATGCACCTTTTTTACTCCACTGACTAGGTTGAATTTGGGAAAACTTGGGATACCTCTTTACAATGATAAACCAAAAATTGTTGGGAGACACGGACTGTGGAGTGAACTGAAAAAGGCTTGCTCCGTGAACAAAGGAGATTTTCATTTCTGCTTGAAAATTGCCCCCCCCCGAATGCTTGTATTTTTGGTTTAGTCCCTGAGCCATGGTGTTCACACCAAAACTTTCAAACTATGTTCCTTGTCTTTTTTGTCTCTTTGTCTCCCCAGTAAAAACTCACCAAAAAAAGAAAAAAAGAAAAAAAAAAACTCGACCTGGTTTCGCCAGAATGGGAACTCTCTTCATGCTTTTTGTTTTTTTCTAGCTAGTGAAAACAGCCACTCTAACAATATATATTTGCAAAATTAACTTTGCTTTACAAGGGGGGGTGGATTTGAAAGCATAGTAGATGCTTGATAAACCTTGATTGAGCCACCATCTGTTTTTCCCCACCAGTAACACTAGTCCACACAATAATCTTCTAATGAACTACTACAAACAGGACTAAGGTAAAGGAGCCTTTATATTAAACTGATGGTATTTGATGGAAGACTTTAGGTTGTCTATGCCAAGCACCCAACATAATTCTCATATTTTCTTGAAGTCTGTCGCCTCCCACCCACTCTCCATTATTTTAAAACACTTTCCAGTCCAACATCACCAAAGCAAAGGGGAGAAGAATATTGAAGTGAAAGGAGTACATCTTTGATCTCAAAAATTTCTTGTGTAGTTACTTTACAAGCATTTCAAAATAAACCAAAGAGAAGGTAAAGTGGTGGGAACTTCCTCTACACCACCTGTCCTCTAAACTACTGTTCATCCCCAGGGCACATTGGTTTTTCTTTTTTTCCATACTCACATTTAGAATGCAGAATAATGTTCAATATGGAATAATGTTCCCATTCTCTAGATAACTTTTATCCCTAGGATTAGGAAGGAGATATATTTAACCTGATTTAAATATTACACAATATAGAAATGTATCTAAACATCACAGTAAGTCATAAATATGAGCAATTTTTATGTGTCAGTTCAATACGTTTAAAATGATGAAATAAAGAAAAAAAGGAGCTTTGGAGAAAAATACATAAGACTTTTTGGGATAATTTTTAAAAGAAGATTCTGCTCAGCTTCCAGCTTTTCCTTCTTTCATCTCATCCCTATATTGGGCTAAGTTTCCTTACATGGTGCCACCACTCTATCATAACCTGCCATATTGCACTGAAATTATAGTATTTGCATTTATATGAATTCCAATAGAGTATTCTATCCCCACACATACAACAAAACTATTCACCCGGAAATATAGCACTGTAAGGTAAAAATACCTGTATTACAGAGAACAAGTCTTCTTTATCCTTACCTCCTGCACTTGTCTGTTTTCATAGTAAAAGTTCTATAAATGTTTGAAGTAAACTCAGTTTTGACCTACCTAATACAGATAGTAAGCTCTATCAGGACAGGGAGTCAGTCATGTTCACCTTTTTATCTGCTCATCATTATCATATATCTTGTAATTTTAAGGTGTTTGACATATTTAGTCTTGGAAAGTTCCATGAAAATTCTTTGAAAATATATTTTCCTGTGTTTTTTGGTTGCATTTCTGTTTCATTTTGCCATAATCATTAACAATGCTGTAGAAGTTTCATTAATTTTAATGGATTATCCTGTTTTATTAAACAATTTTCTTGTCATATGGTCCTCTAATGAATATTTCATGCAAAGATTCTCCTGAGAAGTATAATGTATTATTCAGTAAAACACTATGCCATTTGCCTTGGTTATAAAAAGAAAGTTTTTTTTCATTATCAGAAGTAAATTGCTTCTCGGCCTTTTGGTTAAGATCAAGAGCATTATCAGAAGTAAAATGGATGTTATCTGTGAGACTCTTCATGTACCAGTGGAAATGGAAATTAAATAGATTTCCCATAGTAAACAGGGGAAACATCCTCAAATATTTGCTACCAATGAGAAGCCATGGAAGGATGGTTAAAGCATGAAAATGTACGTTTGTATCTTGTTTTGATGATACATGTGTAAGTATTTATGATACATATTTATCATATATATATCCTTTTCAATATAGGTATCTAACTTTCTAGGTTTTTAATTATTTTTCCTAACAATCACATTGTGAAGATAGAACTCATTAATTTATTCCTCAAATACTCTTTGGGCACCCACTGTATGCAAGGCACTGATTAAATGCTGAGATTGTAGCAGTGAACAAAATAGACAAAAACTCCTGTCTTTGTGACGTTTACATCTAGTAGAATAAAACAAAATAAATAATTTGTGGTGTTAATTTTTAATCTACCCTGCCCCAAATTTCAAACACTTTTTAAAACAGAGTATAGAAAGAATAATCCTCAGAAAGACAGTAGTACCAACTTCTATATAGCTGTCCTTTCTCTAAAGTTATTATGTGACTCATTTACACCCATGGCATCCATTAGGAAAATTTAAAGCCTCAGCATGGAGAAAATGCTGAAAATACCTTTTCTTTGAAATTGTTTTAAATATTTTATGCAAAATAAAAGTGAAAATTAAGAGTTGATAATATCAACAATAAGGCATGAAAGCAAACAGCTGAATTGTCTATTATTCTAAGGATATCTGCTTTTGAGAGCTGAAATATTTTATGTGGATAATTTACAATAAAATGAGATAATAGCTAAGATTTGCCTACCCTATGCAATCACTGTGGCAATCATTTTGTACTTAATGGTTTCTTGAGTTGAAAAACTAAAATTTCCTGGGCATTCAAAAGTTTGCTCAACTGTGCAATGACTGTTACCTGTTTGCAAACCAGTAATTTAATAATATCTACATCTGAGGCTTTTCCTTTAAGCTCCAGAATTATGTATCTAATCCTTTACTCAACATTTCTTCTGAGCATGTCCCGTGGTGAACTATGGAACATTCCAACCTCACTCCCAAAGCTTCCCCATCCAGTGTTCCCTGTCTTAGAAATAGTGCCACTTTTTACTCAAGATAAAAACCAAGAATAACTCTTGATATACCACTTTTTTTCACCCTTATACCATTTCATCAGCAATTCATGCCAGGTCTGCCTAAAAATATATTGCAAATGCTATATATATATATATATATATATGTGTGTGTGTGTGTGTGTGTGTGTGTGTGTGTGTGTAATTTCTCTCAATCTGGACAGCCCACGCAGTCTGTTCCCAAACTACTGTAGTAGGTCCCAGCTGGTCTTTTCATTCATGTTTACTTCTCTCCAGTGCCCTCCCCACACTGCAAATAGAATAAACGTCCTAAAACTAAAATCTGATCATATCTTCCTCTACACTCTTCATGATTCTCTATTGCTCTTAAAATGTCCTTCAACATCTTAAACATGGTCTAATAGTCCCTACTTAACTCTTCAAATTCATCTCATACGTCTTCCCCTTCTCTTTGTAAGCTACAAATATTAACTCTCCATTTCCTCTGATAGTCCATGTTCCTGTTTCATGGCCTTCACCACATGTCCTCGAAATGCACTTGTATCCTTCCCCTTCTCTTCCCACTTCTCCTGGCTTAATCCTGCTCATCCTTTGCCATTAACTGGATACATCATGTACTCTGGCAAGTTTTTATTGAGTTCTCCTTCTAGCTTAGTTTTCTTATCATCCTATACTCCTTCTTTGTTGTACTCATTATGACTGGAAATATTTATTATTTATGTAATTATTTGCTTTATTTTGCTAGAAGGTAATTTCCACAAAGACAAAGACTGTGCTAGTATTGTTCATCATTATATTCCCAATATCTAGTACAGTGTGTGGTACATAGTGGCACTCAAAAATATTTACTGAATGAACAAATTAATACTAAAGTATATGAAATCTGGAAGAAGCCACACCTGAGTTATAATAATTAATACTGTTTTCAATGGGAATATAATGGGTTGGTTACCCAGTAAGCTTGTTTAGTTTTATGTTTGTAACATTTGGTTTTGTGTTGGTAATTGAATGACATTACACATGTTAATACAAAGTCCAGTCAGCACAAAAGGTCATATAATGACTATTACAACTAGTAAGACAAATCTCCATTGTCGGGAGCAATTCTATATGATTTTTGGGAAAAATTATCTCACAATTAAACCATGACTAAGGCCTAGTTTTCCTGCCTACAGGCCAGCTAGGGCATGATGAAACATAACTCCATCTTCACCTCTGGTCACACCTAAAATCTCAATGGTCCAGTGATGCTGTGATGCTCCAGGACAAGATTACACCAGCTAAAGACATCCTAGGAGGAACAAAATCTACATCTGCATAGTTCTTTATTGTTCTAGGATTTTCACCTCTGCTGCAACCACTGCCCCCTGAGTGACCTTTTACATTTGTTACTCTGTGTAAGTACTGAACTCTCTCTGTCCTGAGTCATCTGTTACATTTGTTTCTCCTGATGTACTGAATAAAGGTGTGGCAAGCTGGGGGGAAGGGGATAGATAGGGCTTTCATCTTTGCTTCCCAGAGCAGCACTGATCAGGCCCAAAGCTCAGCTTCTTCTCTAAGTCTCATTTTTTTCTCTTTTCAGTCTAATAAATTAATTCGCCTTGTGCTGTCATGGCTCTCAGGAGACTAGGACTTACTACAGAGGTTCTAGTAACGTCCCCTTTCCCTGTTCCCTACACTCCATATTCTTCTTGCCCCCAATTTTTCTTCTGATAAATAAGCATTATCTATTGCCAGTTTCTTGTGAATCCCAC